CTCTTCTTCTTCTCTGTGACAATTATAATACGCAAGCGGATGACCGCTACAAACTATAAATACCGTGCAACCTGTGTATGTATCACCCTTATCTGCGCATGTCTCCGACTTCCCTACAATTACCTATGGTTAAGGATTCTCGGTGGAATCCGAAACGTCAGGAAAATAAAACCCTTGTTCCAGTGATCGCACCTTATTCTTCTGAAGTGCTTCCTGGAACTCGCATATTCATTCTATTGCTAATATATTTCTGTTTCTCTCTATTAAATTGCGTTGACTTGGTACCGTTTTGTGGAACTTTTTTTTGAACAAAATGCTCTTTGTGTCCTAAGAAGTCAAATTGTAGGTCCTTTATTATTGTCAGTAACCCACGTTTGTTTACTGCATTTGAAAAAAGGCCAACTTGCGTCTACACAAATTGGTAGAATCGGTCAAGGAACCGATTATGTTCGCACTTAAGTAACCAGGAAAGATTAACGACAATCTTTTCGGCTTACTTCTTTTCTTTTTTTAACCGCCATAGTGCTAACAGAATTTTTTAGTGTTTTATCATTGTTCAACGGTAAAATTTAATCTCTTCTAGCCTAAGCTTGTGTCATATTGCACCTAGGTCAGATCTCTAATCACTATCACAGCCTAGGCCAAGCAACACAGAGTTTGTGCTTTAAGCTAGTTTCAAGCACATTATTGTGCCGGCACGCCTATCGATTAACGACCATAATCGGGCTGATCACGTTCGGGTATGGCCCCGTTAGTTCTACAGGTCCTGTCTGTTAGAAACAGCCAGCATACCGGCAGCGAGCCGCGCTCACGACAGGCTATCGATCGGCCTACACGTGACGAACACAGACTGACAATCAATCAATAATTTACATTTCAAAGCTGCGGCCAGGCTAGGACTCTGACAGTCCAGCCGTTGAGTCACAAGCCAATCCTGTCGCTACCCACGCCAGAGCAGTATCTGATTGGCTCGATGGTCATAGCTTTATAAGCGTTTGTTACCCTAACTGTGTTGTTCCACTTACGCTAAAAGACCTCTGCTTTTGCGTTCTGCTTGTCGTGTTCTTCCTTGGGGACTCATAAAAGGCGTACTCAGGCGGTGACATCTCGGTTTTGGCTACATTTACAGCACTGTTGCAGTTTATATCAGACTGGCTGTAAGATGAAAGCACGTACCGCGGTAGAAAACCAGTGATTGTCTGACCTTTCACTTATCAGGCCAAAAACGGCCGCCAGGATAAGCAGTATTCCGTTGACTAGACAGATGTAGGCCACAGTGTCGTAGACAAATTTTACTTCTCTGCGAAGATCACGAAAGAAATCAGAGTCCAGGAGGCCATGATCAAAATCGGCCATTACGTAGAGTGTACGCGAAGCACCGAAAATGGCAAGAGCCCCAAGAACCTGAAGAATGAAAAATAACGTTCATGCAAACACGGTGGAGACGGTGGTTATTACAAAGGCAGTTCCTATATCTTTTTCCCTAGTATTTCACCCTCCGCGTGGGTATTTGTTAGAACTGTTCAAGTTATCAAATGAGGAACTAGATCATTGGGGTGAATTGTTCGTGGCCCTAAGAAAGTCTTACAGATGATATTGTGCTCACCGAAATGAATTTTTTTGTTCGCTGACGTTTCAGACAGTTGGTCCGGCTGTCCCTTGTCAAAACGTTAGCTGCCTTTATCCATCAGCAATCTAAAGTTGTGGACTGATCAGCTTTTTCTGTTCGCTGTTGGGCCCTCCGTGTGGATTTTTGCATAGTTTGACGGCAGTCAGTGTTGTGTTTCGTCCCCATGAGACAGGATGCTGATAATCCCGCTCCCTGTTCCGGTGGTTTCGTCACAGAGCCGTCTTCGTTTATAAATCCTAAGTTCGGAATGACCTTGCCCTGTCCTTTACTCCGGTAATAGCGTAGAACTTTGTAGGCCTCGGGCAGGTCTAGATGCCTGTTAACGGAGATAACGTCATAGTACCATGCCTCAAGCATCAGTCTTTCTGCCTTTGAGGCTCCTCGGCCTACGATGGTCGCTCCTTGAGTATCGAAGTTGTGGCCCGTCTCTCCGATATGTGTCACAAGTTGCAGGTTCGGGTCTAGCCTGCAGGCCGCCGCTTTGTGTTCTTGTAGGCGGGTCTGCAATTGACGCTCTGTTTTTTCAACGGAAATTCCGGTGAGCACAATATGGTCTATGATTCTTATCCCGGAATTCTGACTTTCGCAAACTTGAACTTGGAATGTCTACACTTTGAATGCAGATGGCTTTGGGTGTCGAAAATTGAGAGGATAAGTTGGTTTTTAACTGGCCAATCGTCCTCAAGTTCGACTCACGCATTATTACCTGGCTGGTGACGCTGTGAAGATGTCCGCGTTCTCGCACCTGAGAAGCAGCCCTCGCGGCCCGCTTAGTGCACTTGTCCAACCGCCAACTTCCTCCAACCTATTATCTACTAGTTCTGTGCAAGATACAATTTTCCTTTCCCAAACTTGCGTCCCACCCCTTTTCTTCCCATATGGAACTGAGTCTGAAAGTCGTAGGGACTAGGGTCTCCCCTTATAATGTAAGCCATTGCAATAAATTCATATCAACTCTTACGCCCGCGCCCATCTCTGATTGTCTTATGGTCCATTCCCCATCGAAGATAGGTATGTAAGGCAGAAGTGAGTGTGATAGGCGCGGTTCAAGTCCGCCGCACTTGACACTTTTTAACTCGTAAGTCACCGATGCACTCCGGGTGGTACACGGTGGACGATGATGACTCAGGTATTCAAACGGGCGGATTGTCTAAATTAATAGAATATATGCGAATATACTCGACTCACAGTTGGAATGTCAGTCCGGTATCCCTGCATGCTGGGAGAGCACCTGAACCAACGGATGCAGTTTGAAAAGTATTTACCCCCAAAAAGGCACTATGCCAATACGCCTGGGCCGATTAATCGTTATCTTCCTTAAAGTTAAGCCTTCAAAGATTTTAGCTTCCTGGCTTACTTTCAGGAGGATTTTGTTCACCTGAACAGCCTTAGCCGGAGGTGCGCTTGCTCGGATGTCCACTTACTGAGCCCTAAATTTCAGCGTGCTCATGTAGGAGCCTGCCGCTCAGCGCAACTGCGCGTGACTCATTCTGCCTTCGCTCTGCCAGCCCCTTCTCCCACGCGTAATCATCCCCTCCGCGCGCTATCGGCCTTTCTCATGCTATCGATCGACTCGCTGCTTGATAAGCCTGTAAGCTCCAAGTCAATCGATATCCCCGCTTCATTTGATTGGCTTCAAACGACAGAGT